TGACACTTCGAACCTCTACGCCGCGGTAGTACTTATCTTCGCTTGTTTATGTTTATGCATCGAAAGAATGTCACGTAGAAATCTGTTTAATTTGCATGAGTTGTCTCCTCAAAACAGAAGACTAAAATTATTAATTAAGGCACAGTGGAACAAAATGTGTTGAATATAATTATTATTATTCTTATTTGATCATATTTAAATAAAAATGTGGGTATTCTCACATTTTCTAGAAAATGAGGTTTTTAATTTGATTCATAAAAAATTAGGTATAAATAACACCCCTTGTTCTTTAGCACTAGGTAACCGCAATCTAAAGCTCAAGTGTTTACTTACGTTTATGCATCGAAAGAATGTCACGTAGAAATTAATTTGGTTTAAATGAGTTTGCCTTCTCAAAACAGGAATAAAATTATTAATTAAACCACAATCGAACAAAATGTTCTGAATATTAAAATTCTTATTTTATCATTATTATTATATAAAGTATTCCTCACATTTTCGAGAAAATGAGGTGACTCGTTCTTTATTTGACCAATAAAAAATTTGTAATGACGTCATCACAGCGTTATTTCAATGTAAGAAAAAATAATAAAAGCGCCAAGTTCGGCATCTCTACGTTATTATACCTTGCAAATGTTTTTGCGATAATTTGAACGTTTAGCGAAAAAACTAAAAGTGGATTCGTACATTACAAGTATATGAGTATATTTTTGTGTAACATTCAAATCATTTTAAAATACCATTCATTGTTAGAAGGAATCATTAGCTAAATATTGGTTAGCATTTAACCATATACATAATATTTCTAATATAGCAAGCAAGCAAGACAATACTGGTTAAGACGCTTTGGGAGAAAAACAAGAGGTGATGAGGAATAAAAATAAACTGGGAGGAAAGAGGATATATATTGATAATAATTGGACAGTACAATAGCAAAAAATTCAAAAAGGAATTAGGGAGGTAGCTAAAGAGGAAAGAAAAAAGAATACACAACAAGGCTGGGATATAAGAAGTTGGAAGTAGGGGACAAAATATATACATGGAATGACAAAGGAAAATTGGAAGAAAAATTTCGCAAATCAAGTCAGCACTAACCGAAGGAAGAAACACAAATGGGAGGGGTAGTAATGATAGGAGAAATAAAGACATTAGATTTAAGAATGTAGATTTTGTACATAATAGGGGAATGAGAAAGAAGAATGGGGAAAATAAACGTGGTTTAAAATTACTCTTTTGGAATATTGCGGGTCTGAAAAAGAAAGATAATTTATTTTGGGACTACGTGAAAAATTTTGATTTTGTGGGATTAACAGAAACATGGATACTAGAGAGAGACCGGAACAAACTGAAAGACGTGTTGCCAAAGAAATTTCAGTGGAAATTGCAAGGGGCAAAAAAAGAAAAACGCAAGGGTAGAGCAAAAGGGGGAATCATAAAAGGAGTGAAGAAAGATATAAAAGAAATAGGAGAGGGGGCGATAGAAATGGAAGGCATGATTGAAAGAAAACTGACTGTAAATAAAAAAAGATGGAGAATCTGCACAATATATAGTAGAGGAATGAGAAACACGAAACAAGAAATACAAGAAAACATCGAAGAGTCCGAAGAAGAATTTCTGCTGTTAAGAGGGGACTTTAAGGCCAGAATAGGGAACAAAAGCAGGGAAGAAGACGGGAAAACACACGAAAATCGAAAGATAAAGTAGAAAACAAACACGGAAAATTGATATGGGAATTAATTGAAGAAAGAGGTTGGGAAGTCTTGAATGGGGTGAAGGAAGGGGACAAGGAGGGGGAATTTACCTGGATAGATAAAAGAGGGGAATCGGTAATAGACTACGTAATAGTAAACGGATTAGCAGAAGAAGAGGTAGAAACATTCAAGATAGGAGAAAGAGTGGACTCCGATCACATGCCACTAGAAGTAAAAGTCAGGGGCATAAGTAGAGTAATGTGCCTAAGTAATGAAGTAGGAAAAGAGAAGAAGATATGGGGATGGAACGAAAAAGGAATTGAGCATTATAAAAAAAAATGTTGGAAGTGGAATTTAAAGAAAAAGGAACTGAAAAGAAAATGGAAGAATTAAAAAGAGAAATTGAAAAAGCAGCCATAAGAAAAGAAATTGTAACGCGAAATTTAGAAAAGAGAAACAGATGGTGGGATAGCAGATGCAGAGATTTAAAAACAAAAGCAAGGAAATGTTTACGAAGGTGGAAAAAGGGGAAAAGTATAAAAGAAGAGTACTGGCAAGCAAAAAATAATTATAGAAAACGATGCAAAGAAAAGAAAGAAGAGATAACACAACAAGAAGAAGAAAAGATTAAAGCCATAAGAACTGAGCAAGAGGCATGGTAGTATATAAATAAAGAACGGAAGAACAAAATTACGATTAGTGAAGACATACCTATAATACAGTGGACGAAACATTTTATGAAATTGTTGGATGGAAAGGAAGAGAGAATTGTAGTGCAAGATAGTAAAACCGGGATTGGTGGTGGAGAAAGGGAGGTTGAGATTCGAGTAGAGGAAGTAGGAAAACAAGTAGGAAGACTGAAAAGAGGAAAAGCCCCGGAGAGGGATGGGTTGGTAAACGAATTGTGGATATTTGGGACGGATGGGACAATTGAAAGATTGGGCGAGTTAATGAATGATGTGTGAAACTGGAGGTAAATGTAGAAAAAACAAAAATGTTGGTGTTTAGAAAAAAAGGAAGAAAAGAGGGGGAAAAAGTGTGGCGTTGGGAAGATCGAACAATAGACACAGTAAAGGAGTTTAAATATTTAGGATTTAACTTTACAACAACTAACAAGGTAAAATCACACATAAGAGAAAGAAGGGTCAAAGCAATGCAGATAATGGGAATGGTGTGGAGTATAGGTGAGAGAATATTTGAACATGACATAAGAAGAAGAATGAAAATGTTTGATAGTTTAGTTAGGAGTGTATTAATGTATAGAGTGGAAATATGGGGATGGAACGAATATGCAGAGATTGAAGCAGTACAAGAAAAATATTTGAGGTGGATGTTAGGGCTACGGAAAGAGACGCCAGGCTATATAGTAAGAGAAGAATGTAAACGAGAGAAATTAAGAGTATACACTGGGAAAAGAGCTGTAAAGTATGATGAAAGGTTGAAAGAAAAAGAGGAATGTAGGACATTGTATGGATGCTGGAAGGAAAAGAATAGGAAGCAGGGAAAGAACATCACAAGGGTAGACAAGGATATTATGAAAGACTGGGATATGCATGGATGGAAATAGAGAGAAAGAAAGAAATGGGGGTGAGTATGAGAGAAGAGTTGTGTATGCGTGACAGAGACATAGATAAATAAGAGAGAAGAGCGAGTGTAAGTAAATCTAGGTACAATGCAGACTATAGAAAGATAATAACGGAAAGAATACCAAAGTACCTAGACAGAGAAAGCGCGAAAGCGAAAAAAAAATAATTGCGAATTGAAGACGGAAGAGGGGTGGAATGGATGAAAGAAGTGGAGACGACAAGAGTAAGGCTGGGGCAAGGGGGGATGGGATAAAGGAAAAAAAGAGTTATTTGGTTATAAAATGTATTTATTTGGTTTTTTGTTAATTAGGGAAAAATTGTAGTGTTGTAAATCAAGAATCTTTTAAGTCCGTAGGGTAGAAAATAAAAACTTACTACATTATCTCGAAAAGTTTTACTCATGAATACTACGAATAGAGAAAAATAGATCTGGTTTTACTCTCACCATTGCAGAAGTTTATGACGGAAAACTGTTATTAAATATTTCTCTGTCTGTTTATCGATCCTTTTCGGATTTCAAAAGCAGTAGAAAATATAATTATGAACGGATTAGCTATACTTAGCAGAAATAGGAAAAGAAAAACAATTACAAGTGCAAATAGTTTTCCTGAAAGTCGTTTTTAGTTTGTTAAAATTGTTTTTGCATAAAACGTGGACTATTTTTCTTCGTTACGACAACATTTTTAATTTCGCGAAGTAAGCAAGAAAATTATTGCAATAGAGTCTGTTCAATTTTAAGTTTCTTCCACGTTTTAACGTTTGTCCAATATGAAAATTTTGATTTTCCGTTTTCGTCCGTCTGTGTAATGTTGGCAAATTTATTATGTATGACCGAAACTACTGGACCATGTGTTTTGTCAAATTTTATGAAGTATTATGTACCTCTATGCTTGTGGTTTATTATTAATATGCCAACATTTTTTTCCATCTGGTATCGTGATTTTTGAAAAAAAAATAAATTAAACAAAACAAATTGAAAATTTTTCAATGTACAGTCAGCCTATTCAACATTTTGTGACGTGCAAAATAATGTACGTCTACACGTACAACCTATTTTTTTTTTTAGTGAGTAAGTGTTAACCATAAAATGTGTTTTTTTTTTAATTTCAGTTTCAGTTGCGAGGAAAAGGTTTTCAATGTTTAAATAACTTTTGATCTAAATTACTGACGTTATTTTGATTGGCATAGGTTATTAAACTTTATTTTACAAGCAAACAAGTAAAAATTATGAGGAAAATGTCAGAATGTCAGATATAATACCAGGATTAGCTTTATATGTATTTAGGCTTTTCTGAAACAGGAAAATTAAAAGCTTATTTTATATCACTCTTTTCAGCTCTAAATGTGTATTTATGCTTAAATAGTTATATGCCATTGTTGGTTTAAAAATTATCCAGATTATTTTGTTCTATATTTGTCGCAGGGGACAAGTGATGGCATTTTGATAAATTAAATCAAAAAACGTATTTGTCTTTTTTATTCTTACATGTTAACGTCAAAATGAAACGTACATAAAAATGTTCGCAGATATTTACAACAGGAATTGTTTTAACTTAAAAAAAAAACGTCCGAAAAGCAATAACTTTCCTTAAAAAGTGGCCAAATGAACTTTGCGCAGCAGAACTGGAACTAAATAAAATCTCAATTACCGCGTAAATTTCATCTAATTACGACAGACCGACGCACACGAAACACTTATTATCCGAAAGGAAAGTAGGAAAATTATACGAATATTGTATTCAGTTACTAATGGACTTGATATTTATCAACAAAACCATCAAAAATCCGATTTCTTGCGTAATAAATTCATTTATGAAACGCTCGACGCCTTTCTTTTCTTCTTGGAGGCGGGCTCCGATGTTCCTTTATTGTCTTGAATACTCTGCAACTTTGACTCCATTAACTCCTTCTGTAATTAGCACGCAGTCACCTTTTTCATCAATTATTTACATTAGTGGTCTTACCAGAGACTCGTTCCGACGAACTAATAATTTCACGTCGTCGCTAGTTACGGTTGAGCGCTTAGCGTGTCTGAAAGTAAACTTTTTGAAATTACTACACTATATTTTACAACAATAAATACTTCTGGAAAGCTTCTAAATCAGAAGCGTAGAGGGTGAGCTTTTTCCATGTCAGTTCTGCGATCAAGTCGAGGACGTCGGGTTCAAACTCCATGTTGAGATTAGTTCCCACTTCTCGTGACATTTTCCGAGCCGTGGAATAAACAGAATGTTTTAATTTCTGCAATTAAAAAAAGAAAGAATGGTGTGAATATCAATATCGAAAAAGTACGTGCGTAAATTTGAACATGGTGGCGACATCTAGTGAACACAATTTGGTATCATTCTTTAAAAACAAACAAAATTTCTGATTTTCTGTTTTATTTTTGTGTTTAGGCAAAAAGTAAACATTTTAAATTTTAGCTTACTCGTTCCTTGGACGTCATCTTTACGCATTTCACACTTTTAACAACAAATCGGGACTGAACACATGCCGCAAACACTCGAATTTTTATAGGTTAGGCATTCACACTATGCAGACTAACAACACAGAGTGCTTTAGTTGTCACTTTATATTCTACCGCCAACCACAAGAGGTCGCGCTATGCAAACAGCGCAGCTATCTTTCGCAGCGCTTCAATAATGTCGTTGTCGTTCGCTTGATGGCACCTCTATACAACTGTCGTTATTAGTGCTGCAAAAATGCCGCTAAAAATATAATTTTATCATATTAATTCAATTTTACAGCTTCTTATGACAAATCACTTTATACAATTATAAATTTCGTGTTTATTGAAAGGATACATTACTTTGGAATACACAGAGAAAGTGTAATACTTAATAAACGTTGAAAAATTAAATGTGTACTTTATTATCTAATACGTATATGTATATCGATATAAAATCACTGTAAACATATGTAAACGAGAAAAATATAAACAAACAAATCTGTATAAATTGCAAAGATTAAAACAAGAATAATTATTTATGAAATGCATGTGTTTTGCCCTTTTGATGTTTTTATCATACATTTATATATTAAATAAAAAACTGGCGTATTATATAACATGATTGCAGTAATTATTAAATCTGTTTTTCTCTTTAAGTTGCTTAGTCCCATAAATACACGGTAGCTAACTGTTGGATGGAATGAATGAAAGTCAATTTATGGCCTTTTTTGCAACACCGACCCGCAACTGCTGCCGCAGAAAAATATTTACTTTCATTTGCGAAACGGAAATGTATTTCACATGTTTTTTTGCAGATGCTTTTCTAGCACGTAAACCAACAAAAAGTACTTCATAAATTTTCTCAGGGCTTCGTGTAGCGCCCGGCGAAGTAAAAGTATACAGGATGTCTCAGACTTTGTTTACCAAAGCAATAGCGAATCGAGATTTATCACTAGATACTAAAAAGGATAATAGGACAATAACAATAGTAAACCTATCTCTATAAAAGAATCTAAAGTAATAACACCAAACTAGCTATAATATGTATGTAAGACTATAACTTATATCGGGCAAGCAACACAATTTCTAATCGAGTTATCCTAGTAAAGGATTTATCATATCGATGATTAAATGTGTAAATTTAAAAGAAAAATTGATACGAGATTAATTACGTTTATTAAATAAATTAAATTAAATTACGATCACGTGTCTCAACATTTCTAGATTATGTGGTTAATTTTTATCGTTGTTCACTAATCTAATGATTTGTGATGTCTAAAAGTTCCCGTAACATTGGTACTGTGGTTCTAGACAACTGCGCTGTAGCTCGGTATTGTTGAAAATAACCTACTTCCATTCATTTTGCTTTTATTGATTAATGTAGAATAGTAACTTAAAGTATACAAAAATTCTCCTCTCAAAGTGTTAAAAGGATTAGGATGATTTTTTCTGGTGTTCAGTGAAATTCCAGCGGACCTTCATGTTTTCTCGACTTGTTATAACCCGTAGAGTACGAAAAATAGGTCTGCCGTTTCCGTCTGCCTGACTGTCTGTCGGTCTGTTCGCCGTCTATGCCTATTTAATCATTCTACCATCAATGTGTACACAGTAAATGGGCTTTAAATTTTATCAAATAGTATACGCTTTGGTGTAGTTTATGAATCCGTGTTGACTTTTTGCCTGAAATATCCAGATTAAAAAAAAAAAAAAACAAAAATGTATGACAAAATTTTGCAATTTAATTTTGAAGCTGCAAAACCGAGTAATGTAAAAGTTGGCAAACGTTTTAAGGTTATCATAACCATGGTAAATCGTTAATCAAAATTTATCCGTTAACCACCTCCCAACAAATGGATGACGGCTCTTAAGAACGGTTCAAAACATTTTGCTGAAAATTTTATAAATTTGGACCAATTTTTTTAATAAAACCTGAATGTGCTCGCTGCGCTCGCCTTCTAAGCGATTTCTTTTTGCATTGTAACTAGTCTCACGAAAAATAAATATAAATGATATATTACTGAAATGATATTAAACCTGATTTAAAGAAATGAATATGGCTTTTAATGCAATACAAGAAGCGTCAGTTTTTAAAATAAACTTGATATTTTCTGCAAAATTAGGATACTCTAAAATTGGTGGTTTTACTAAGGCATTTTTCAATGTTTCAAAAGAGTTTTGACACTCCACGTTCCAACTAAATTCAACATTTTTCTTGCTTAATCTGTTTAGTGGTGCCGCTATATTAGCAAAATTTTGTGAAGTTTTATTGTTGTAAAGTTTTCTTTCTTCTTTGTTTGCTATTTTTTCTCAAAACAATAGGATAATGCCTCAAACATATTTCACTCTGTAATTTCTTGTACAGAAATATGGACTTTGCGGTTAAGCTCCACCCCTCGGTCTCACGACGAACAGAAAAAAATCATCACAATTGAGATGGGGCGGGTGGGTGGGGGTTATCCATTTCAATAGTAAAATACTTAAAACACAATAACCTCCGAAGAGACGATCTGGATTATATTCTTCCACCGTGAATGAAGTTAGAGACAAAGAGGTAATGAGTAGTGAAGGGACAGAAAGAACGAAAATGGATAGAGAAGTAGAGTGGTCGAAAGAGAACAGGCAGGTCTTCCAAAGAAGCAAAATAACAGTAAGATCACCTCTGAAATCGGTAAAGAAGAAAAATCAAATGGCAGAAATTTTGAATGGAACGAAGAAGAGGGCAGACTCAAGAAGGTAGAAAATTTTTAGTAAAGAGCCAAAAGAAAAGGAAGAAAAGGAGGCAAAATGGAAGGAAACAAGGAAAAGGAAAAGGAATAAAGGATGCAGATAGGGAAATCAGAAAAAGGGAAGCTGGTACGAAATTAGGAGAAAAAGGGGTGAAGGTACTGTTTTGGAAAGTCCAAGGGTTGCGAAAAAGGAAAAGGAGTTCTGGGACTACGTGGGAAAATTTGATGTGGTGGGGTTTAGGATAGACATGGGTAAAAAAAGAAAAATGGGAGAAATTTGAAGAGACACTACCACAAGAATATGTGTGGGAGTGTCAAGGGGCGACAAAGGAAAAGAAAAAGGGGAGAACAAGCGGGAATAGTAATGGGAATTCGAAAAGAAATGCAAGAATTGGAAAAGGGAAGTAATAATAAAAACGGACTAATGAAGAAACTAATACATCTGAATAACAATCGATGGGAAATAATAATCGTTTATAGCAAGAAAATGGAGGAAACCAAGATAATCACAGAAAATGAAGCAAATGAAAAAGGAGATGGAAAGATACTCATAGGAAGGGATTTTAACGCAAGACTGGGCGATAAGGGGACAAGTATAATAGATAAAGAAAATGGAGATAAAAGAGGATCAAAAGTCAAAGCAAATAACAAAGAAGAGAAAATATGGTGGAAGATAATAGAAAAAATGGGAAGGAAAATTTTGAATGGAAACAAGGAAGGAGAATGCACGAACATAGGGGCTAGGGGAGAAGCAGTTATAGACTATGGGATTGTCAACGGAGATGCGTGGGAAGAAATAGAGAGTTTCAAAGTGGGTGAAAGGGTAAAATCAGGCCACATGCCACTAGAAATAAAAATCAAAGGAAAAGAGCAAGAGTACAAAAAACAAGAGAGAATAAACGAAAGAAAAGAAATAGAAACAAGAACATGGGATGAAGAGGGAATTCAAAGATTTAGAAATCGACTAAAAAAAAAGAAATTCGAAGTAAAAGAGGATATAGAAGCTATGATAGCAGAACTGATCAACCTAATTGTAGAAGCTGCGGAAAAAAGAAAGATACACATATGGCAAGGGAGGAATAATGGATTGAACGGAGAATGTAGTGAGTTGAAGAGAAAAGCAGGGGAAAAATTAAGAAAATGGAAGAATAACAGGGAAAGGAAAGAGGAGTATGATATGATATGATATGATATGATTTATTTACGGTAAGAACCTGTACAATTAGAGTTAACAAAAATAAGGACAAAGCACTAACTATATAAAAGGCGCCTAGCGAGTAGTTTAAAATTACTTAAGGATTGACAATGAAAAAAGTCCAGCCTATCACAATATCTGTTACATATTAAAATAATATTATTTAGTGGACATCTCAACATATAGTTACAAGTACATATAGATGGATCAATATAAAAGATTGGAACATTTCTAACAGGATAAGGCGCTTCAATATTATTAGAGAGGATATTAAAGATAAAAGAAACAGCTGAAAACTGTCTTCTTGATTCAAGAGAAGGAAGTTCAAACAACGCATTATAACTGATAATAGAAGATGTATCTCTGTTTATATATTGTGGGAACTTCCATAGCATATAGCTAATGAATTTTCTTTGAACAAATTCCAGCCTTGCTATATGACTTAATAAGGGGACCAGACAATAGAACCATAGTCTAGAACAGATCTGACATGAGATACATAGAGAATTTTACAAGTAGAGATGTTCTTAAAATCCCTGCAATACCTTTTAATGCACCCTCAAATTTTATTTGCCCTGCTTAAAATATACTCATAATGAGATATAAAATTTAGCTTAGCATCCAAATATATACCTAAATCTTTAATTACAGTATTTACAAGGGTGACCCACTTAATGTATAGCTAGGATATAACGGAGAGACTTTGCGACTAAAATTAACAACACAACATTTTGTAAGAGTCATCTTATTTGCAATACACCAACTACTTAACTTGTTTATATCAGATTGTAGGCAAACAACATCATTGGAGCTTATAACGGAAGTATAAATTTTTAAGTCATCAGCAAAAAGAGAGTAGTTGCTATTAAAATTGAAGCCGACATCATTAATAAAAATACAGAATAATAATGGTCCCAATATAGACCCTTGTCGAATTCCAGAAGGCACATGTTGAATACAAGAATAATAATTGCCAATTTTAACCTGTTGAGACCTGCCCATTAAATAACAATTAAACCATTTTAATAAGATGCCATTAATACCATATGCTTCTAATTTTTGAAGCAATAAAGAATGATTAACTTTATCGAAGGCCTTACTGAAGTTAACATATGAGAATAAATTAGTTATGGTAGACCTTTTCTTGGCAAAACCATGTTGTTTAGGTGTTATTACAGATTTAAGATATGGAACTATTTTAGACCAG